CTCCAGTTTTTTTGCTCTCTATCATAGAGTGTGGATAGTCAGTATATATTGAGTGGATACATACAATATCTTTCTTTGATAGCCTGGCTTACTTCACTCAGCAATAGATCCTCCATATCTGACCACTTTCTATCAAATTCCAGAGTCTTGTTATTTTTTATGGCTGAGTAGTATTCCATAGAGTATATATACCACACTTTTCCAATCCATTCATTGGTTTGTGGACATTTAGGTTGGTTCCATGTCTTGGCAATTGTGAATAATGCTGCAATAAACATTGATGGCAAGCACTTTCAATAACTTATTTTTATAAATGATAAGAATTTATTTCTAATCAAAATAAAAATTGGTGAGAAAAGCATCTTTGTTTTAAAAGTTTGCACATTTCTTTAATGTCTGGCTTAACAGAAAATGGCTGAATTCTCAAATCAGCTTCTGCATTCTTTGTTGTATTGGTGAAGATATATGAAAAACCTGGGCTTTTGACAGTTTGGTAGTTGTAGACCCTTGAAAGGTATTAGGGACTGCCAGTTCTTGAATCATATTTATAAGCAGACATAAGTGTAGACTAATCATTAACATAAGGGAGCATGTGCTAGGAAACCATACAGTAGGCATTGTTATTCCACCCGATTGTTAGGATGAACACTGGAAATCACTGAGCATGACCTCAAGTTGAATTTTCATGATAATATGCTCACAAGCAAATGCCCAGCTAGCATCAAATAACTGTAGTGACAGTTCATTGCCCCAGAGACAGTTGATTTTATGTTTCAACATTTTCACTTGGAGAGAAGACTTCTTTTTGACTTATATCCAGTGATTGATCTTAGCTCTATCCCTTCAGTACTAATATAACAATTCCAGACTCAGGTCTACACAGTATGCCTTCACATATTTAAAAACAACCACCATGTGTCCTTAGAGTCTTCTCTTCGTGGTAAAGAGTCCTGCCACTTCTCATTACTTCCATGCCAGCTGTTTACCCTTTTATGGCTGTCTGCATGTTCTTTAGGAATTTTTCCAGCTAGAATATATTTGAAAGTCCCTACTCTTGAGCTTATATTTATTGCCCTCATAAGTAGTATCCACATTTCCTGCAGAAATGCTGACCTGACAGGTATGAGAAATGGCATGTGACAATCCAATTTTATTATTATTTTTTGAAGTACAAGATTTCAACATCAATGTAATTGTAGAATTAGAGGAGAGAGCAAAGAGGAAAGAGAGGGATCCCAGTGGGCGGGGAGGCAAATGGCTTGTAATCCACAATAATAGAGAGAAAATACACAATGGATCACGAGTCGGGAGGCATTCTAGTGCTGTTATTTGAGCATCTTTTTTTGTGCAGACCCTCTCCAAGAGCTTGGAGGAAAGACTGTACATTGTGAGCATGAATCCATTTTTAATGGAAGAGAAAAAAACCCCACAAACTTAATGAAGTCATTCATAGAAATTGGAAGGGAGAAAATAACACAGAAATAAGGCCTTCTCTTTGATCTTTGACAAAGGTTATTTTTAGTGATGAGGAGGGTTCTCCTTTGCAATTAAGCATGCCTTTTTCGACTGTTGCTGCTATCTTTATTAATGAATTGGGTTTACTACCGAGGCAAACTCTGGGTCTAAAATCCCATTATCCAGCTGCCAAAAAGCTAAAATTTGCTCCATTAGTTTTTCTTTACAATCAAGTGAACCATATCAAAGGACAGACTTAAAATAGTTCTGTCACTAGCATACTTTTAACAGAGTCTGAAAGAATAGAAACAGATGCAAAAGCAGAGGGAACTTTCTTGCTAGTCTACCATTAAGGTGTGTTGAGACTTTTAAGAGGAAATGTAATGTACTCAGACCTCATTGTTATTTAAGACATTTCTGACAAGCACTGAAGTTTCAAGACACGATCCAATTATCTTAAATGGCTACAAATGGATCTTTAAATATCATAGTTCAAGGTGAAGTTCAGACTATGTTTGGGAAAAGGCTTAATGAAAAGTTCATAACAAATTGTCAAAATCTAAATCCTACTTGAATTCATTGACATTTGGTACAGCAAACATGTTAGTAATATTACTAAATGCATAAGATATGACACTACAATAGTTTAGCAATTCTAGAAACTAATAAAACCATGGAGGCTCCCTCAACAATAATTCTGTGGTAATCGTGATGGAGTCCAGAGATGAAATGCCAAATTTTGGGTGAGTAATCTCTAGTAGAACATTCCAACCCTGGCTCTATCTGTTTGTCCATTTGTAATGGAGCCTGGCTTGTTGCATCTCAGAGCAAAATCAGTTTAATTAAAAGGGCTGATTTCAATGGTACATACAAAAATTTTCTTCATCTCTTGAATTATCTGCAAAGGGTTTTGTACTTTTAATCCAGTTCGCTAACTAGGTCCTGATGCATTACTCACTGTTAACTAATCCTGACTGTGCCTAATCATGTGAAAGCCATGTCTTTAAGCATTTACATTTGTCCTCTGAGTCCAGTGTGTAACCCTATGTGGTAGGTACTATTCTCAACCCAGAGACTTTTAGAAAGTTGGCCAGACTTGCCCAGCAGATAGAGCTAAGATTGAACCTGGGGAGCCTGGGGAGTGTGAAGTCAGAATCTGTGTTCTTCATTCATATATTTCACTGTTGTGTGTGTGTGTGTGTGTGTGTGTGTGTGTATGCGTGTTTTAATCAGTTTACTGTTAATAAAGGCTCAGGAATTTTTGTCACTTGCCAGCTATTCTCTGAGCATTTTATTTATCATAACTCATTTAGAGCTAGCAACACTTCTAGAATTTAATACCACATTACTTTGATCAAGCTGATTGATTTCTAGTGACAATTCACATTTCTTAATTCTTGAGTGGCTCATGTAGGCATCACTGATTGTCTCTCGTTCTTGGGACTGGTATGGACAGAAAAGTGACAGCCATCCTGTTTGGTAATTATGCTTGTGGGGAAATTTGTTCCTATAATCAGTATTTTTTCAAGAAAGGTTTAGCTACCAAGTGATGTAAGCCAGACTATGAAAGACAAACAGTGTATAACCCAGCTCAATATAGTCTAAATGTCGGCACTTTATGGCAAAAATCGAAAGATCCAAAGATTAAGGAAGGGAGGGTAAGTGTAGATATCAGATACTCTATGAGAGGATGGTTGATAGAAAAGGGTGTACGGGAGGGGCTCAGGGAAGAAGTACTTAACAGACATAAGAATGTAAAGGTCTCTGGTGAAAATTATGTACATGGTAATATCCTTGATTTGATTGTCACATACTGTATGCATACTTTGAAAAACCAGATGTTGTGCTATAGAAATGTACAATGATTGAATGTAAATAAGAAATCATAAGATTTAAAGAAATGAAGAAAATGGACAGAAATGAACCCAGAATGCATGTTGGTCTAAACACAGTTAAAAAGAGTAGTTTATTACGGGGTAAAATGACAGGTCTTTTAGGACTGTGAATCCATTAATCAGATCAAATTGTGTGAACTATATTAAAACACACTGAAAGCAAAAAGAGAAAAGGATTTTATCTACCTGTGAAAACGAAAAGGAATTATAATAATGGACCATTGGAAAGATCTTGAATATTTTAGAGTGCACTCTAAACTTCCTTGTCCTTCAAAGTTTTCATTTCCAGGACATAAGCAAAGGAAAATTAAGTTTCTATCTAGATAATTGGTCAGTTTAGCCTTAAGTAAAGACTCCTGCTTTATGTTCTTAATGAAAATTAAAACTAAATATTATCTTTCTTAGGCATAGGAATAACCTGCAAGCCTGAAATAATGTTCACCTTATTTATTTTCTTTCCATCTAGTTATCTCATGTGGAAGTCTATCCTTTCCTCCAAATGGTAACAAGATTGGAACGCTGACAGTTTATGGTGCCACAGCCATATTTACGTGCAACACGGGCTACACGCTTGTGGGTTCTCACGTCAGAGAGTGCTTGGCCAATGGACTCTGGAGTGGTACCGAAACGCGATGTCTAGGTAAACTAATCTATGTTCAGGCATTTATTTAATTCAAATGGATTACAGCTGGATCACACAACTTAATTAATTTTTTTAAAGAGTTTTGTTATAGGGAGTCTGTGCTCATCAGAAAAAGACAAGGAGAGAGGGAAAGTGAGAAATCACCCCTCATGGGATATGGCCATGCTATAACCCTTCCCCCTTCATTTTCCTCCCAAGAAGCAGGGCATGCATGTGAACACACCCCACATCTTCCCTGAACTGTGGGTTCAGGACCTGAACTATGGAGTCGGCCATGTGGGGTCCAGTCCTTAACCCACACACCACCTTGCTTGCCACACAACTTTCTTTTTCTTTTATTTAATTGAAAGCTCTAATAATGTTACAAAGTACTGCCTGGTGTTCAATGTCTGCATTTTACTTTATGACAGCTTCTTTCAGTATCTAAAGGGTTTTATTTTTTAATACACGCACACACATACACACACACACATATGTGTATATGTGTGTGTTTAAAATAATTATATAAATATATATTATTATTATTATCATTATTATTTGCCAAAGGGCACATGTGTTCACTACAGATAGTCGGAGAAAAAGAGAGGGAAAATGAGAAAGCACTCACCCTGGGGAATGGTTATACCACAATCCCTTCTTCTTTCTCCATTTCCCCCTCCTTTCAGCTTTCAGGATTTTGGACATACACACACACACACACACACACACACACACACACACACACACACACGCCTGTTATATTTTCAAGCCCACAGGTTTAAGATTTAAGCCATGTGATCAGCCATGTGGAATCTAGCTGCCTTAACCACCGCACCATTGGTTCAGCATTGATTTTAATCTGAACAATAAATGAAGGTAATTTATTATCTTTAGTGACATAAAGATTATTTTGCCAAATGGTAATAATGTAACTATATACAAATCCAAGGTACACAAAAAAGGATGTGGGAGTTCGGCAACAACCATTAAACCATCTGCTGGTCCCACATTTATTTTTTTAAATATTTAAAACTTATATCAACAAATTGAAGTGATAACCTAAATCAGGATAAACACAACAAAATATGTTAATTTTGTATTTTTTTTCCCAAAGATTAAAATATTCTGTTTGATAATTTTTCCGAAGTGTATTGAAATCATTTACAGCAAAAATATTATAAATAAATATATGAAAATAATTTTTGAGAGATTTTTGCAATAGGGCATGTTCACTTGACAGAGAGACATAGAAAGAATAGAAACAGAAAAGTAAGAACGTCCTTCCCAATGGAGGATGGTCACATCATAATCTCTTCTCCTCCATTCTCCTTTTGGGACTTTGGGAACACATACACATGTTCAGTGTGAGTTTCAAGCCACCAGGTTCAGGATTTAAACTGAGGGTGACCATGTGGGAGTCCAGAGCCTTAACCACTATATCATCTACTGGCCCATGAAAATAATTTGATAAACAGTCTAAAGTACAGCCATTTCTTAAAGGTGCTCCCTGTAAATCTGAGCTTTTTTTTTTTTTTTTAAGAGGTTTTGGCCTTAGAGCACATGTGCTCGCCAGAGAGACAGACACAGTAAAAAGTGAAAGGGAAAATGAGAAATCGCCCCCTAGAGGAGATGGTCACACTACAATCCTTCTCACATTATCTTCCTGAGATCTTGGGCACACACAAACATACACACAGGCAGCAGGAGTGAATTTCAAACCACCAGGTCTGGAACTCAAATCGCAGTCAGCCATGTGGGAGTCCAGCAACGTAACTTCTATGCCTCCTGCTAGTCCCAGTTTCTGAGTTGTTTTTATAATACTATAAGTGCCTTTAGTTCTTTTGAAACCTCTATGATCTTCAATAATTCTGCAATCATTTGGAGTCACAGAAGCTGAAATTTTTAAGCTTCTGAACCTCCATGGTCTAGGATTACTTCAAATATTAAGCCAAGCCCAGCAAACGTTTAATAGTAATATCTGTTCTTCTTTTCACTTTGGGAGACTTTGAAGAAGGAGAATATAATAATGTAGTAACCTGATAGAAAACCAATGATTAAAAAAAAAGGTTTTCATACTTATTCATAAAGTAATATTCATTTACTTTAAATTATTTAAGTATTTATCGGGTTGTTGGAAAAGTCATACATTTCATACACTGCTTGAATAGTCTGTCTTCAAAATATTATATACTAGTTAATTTTATATTATCTATTATTGACTATATTATATATAAAATATTTTGTTGTTAGGTGTGATCCTAAGAGTCTTTAGTAAATTATAAAATCTCTGTGGAATACATGTGGCATTTTGTGTAGAGAACCATGTATCCCTCCAAAATTTTCTATGCTTTTCTAAATGTTCTAATGAAGTTGACTGGCCATTGAGTAACATTCTCCTTATGGTAACTATAGTGTGGACCAGGTCTTCTAAACTTCAGTGGAGTTTAGCCCTCTGTAAGGGGACTAGATGATTAAAGACGCTTAGATCACTAGCAATAATAGTAAGGATGAAAATGAGTAGCAACATACACTTGATTACTGCTCAACTGCTTACAAATACATCTCTTACCTTCTTTTTTTTTTTTTTTTTTTTGAGAGGTTTTTGCTATAGGGCGCGTGCGCTCACCAGAAAGACAGAGAGAGACAGAGAGACAGAAAGTGAGAAATCACCAGCAGGGAGGACGACCATGCCACAATCCCTTCTCCTCCATTCTCCTCCCGGGATCTTGAGCACGCACGCACACGCGCCCGGTGTGAGTTCAAGCCGCCGGGTCCGGGACTTGATCCGCAGTCGACCACGTTGGAGTCCAGTGACATAGCCATTACGCTAACTGCCAGTCCCTCATCCCTAACCTTCTTTTATTGGTTGGTTCTAAGAAGAAGTGCAGGTAGGAACACTGTTGGAACTTTGGGGAATTTCAATGGCACATTCAGTAGAAACTGTTAAATAATGAGACTAGTTTGAGTCTTACTGATTCCATGTAAGCCCTTACCTATTTTGTGTCAGTCTTCTGTCTGAATGTTAGAATTTTGAAGTAGAAAGTATGAGATGTATATTGAATATTTGGCATCTGAAGATTCTCTAAAACATGGCCTCCATAGGATACAACATATCTTAGAAGCTTTTAGAAGATTATATGCTCAAAAGGAATTTAAATTCAAAATAAAAAGGAAGAAAAAAAATGCCCATATTATGATATATAACATTTTAGTGTTGTGGAAATAGCATATAAGGAAGAATAAAATAATAAGAGGCATACATATTTTAAAAGAAAAATAGAAAGGGATTAAAAATGCATATAGAGGGATATGTATTTATACCAATTGGTAAATAATGGACAAGACATTCATTATAAAGATGTAAAAGTAAACGTAGTTTCAGAGCAACCACTAAGACTTGGAAGGTTAAAAATCATAATATATCAAATATAATAATGAAGCCTATCCCTTTACCAGAGAAGTAGATTTCTGAAGGGTAGATGGCATAGTATAACCCAACAAGAATCCGTGTCCATGGGAAACCATACAACTGCAGGCAAGACGTAGAAGAAAGGCCAAGCACATAGAACAGAGGTAAAATTGTTGCAGGAGAAAATTCTTTTTTTTAATTTTATTTCATTTTCTTTTATACATTCAATCACATTATTTGGCTTACAAATGGATATTTCAGCAGGTGAACATTTCTCCCTAGTACAGGTAAAACAACTGTAAAATATCTTCAACAGATAATACCACATTTCTTTGTCCCATTAATGCTTTGCCTCCCTATTTTTCTTCTAAATGTCCTTCCTCAGACCCTCCTCTTTCGCACACACTATATTCTGGTATTTACAACTATATACTGTGCTTCTATATCCTTTAGTCAGTCAGTTCCAGTCACTGAGTGTGGACACTCGGTATATATTAAGTGGGGGCATACAATGGCTAGAGAAGATTCTAAGATGTTCAGATAGATGAAGGGTGAAGATGCCCCAGTGCTGCATCTGGCAGATATTACAGAGCAGCTACTGGATATCCCTGTTATCCAGACATTAACAAGATGCCTCATTTGGAGACAACAGTTCTGAATACTATTGTTTATTGCTGCCTTAAAATCTTCAAGATATTTTTAAGTTCTAGCATATTAGATTTCTGATAGGACACATAGTAAGTGTTTATCTATTTACAAATTGAAAAGACAGCTTAGAAAAGGGAAGAATTTGTCTACCATCAGAAAGTCAATTAATTTCAAAATGGTATTTAAACCTAGGCAGTTTGATTATTGACCACAAATTTAATAGTAAGATTTATGACTAGTGTACCTGAGTAAATTTTGTGCTACTTTGTCAGTGAATTTTTCTCACAGAAGGAAGAAATGAGATAGTTGTGCTAGCATGCTAACCCTGACCCAAAGAAGGACTTCATTGATACACTAGAAATTAAATGAGCTCTATTATTACTACCCACCTTACGACCTATGCCAATGAAAGGGGTTTTGTGTCAGTTCTGCATAACAAATTTGTCCTCCGTTCTCTACTAATCCTGGAACACTTACACATTCTTATTTATCAAATACTTACATATTCATGTTAACCGAAATTACCCTTTGCTTATTTTAATTATTATGACCCTTTGAAAATCACTGTGTTTCTACCAAGCTAAAGAACCTTGAGGTCAGTGCTCCTTGGGACCGGCAAGTGGCAAAGTGGTTAAGAGCGCTGGACTCCCACATGGCAGACCACCGTTCAAATGTTCAAATCTTGGACCTGGTGGCTTGCTTTTTCACTTCCTCTCTCTCTTATTCTCTCTGATAACACTGAAAAATAATAATGATAATAATAAATAAAATTAAATAAAAATAATTCTTAAAAAAAAAAAAAAAAGAACCTTGGGTAATCCTAAGTCTTTATCCTTCTCACATAAAAGAACTCTAGATAGTCAGTGGGAAAATTACTTACAGTAACAGTGGAGCCAGTTGGTGGTTTGTTTTGTGTGTGTGTGTGTGTGTGTGTGTGTGTGTGTGTGTTTTAAATCAAAGA